AAATTCTTCCCTGCCCAACTCTCCAGCCTCTGGCAAGGAGGAAGAGCCCTTGAGTATCAAAATAAATTAGGCAGCATTCAATCAGTGTCTACAACTGCTTGTTAAAAAGGTAACATTTTGGAAAGCTCTTGGGTTACTTTCTTGGCCAGCCACTATGTGAACACTTCATGAGAGGAAAAAGGTACGTGTCTCAAAAGAGACTTTATTTTCTGAAGTGCAAACTAATTTCTTTCCAAGGGTAACTACAGTATTTAAACTACTTCTATAGGCTTGATTTTTAAAAAGTTAAATGAAAAAAGGCTGATACTACTTTTGTAGTACTACTCAGTGTCATTCTTAAGAGTTCTATAAACAAGCCCTTCCCATAACATAAAATTAAAACTCGAAAATTAAGAGAATTTGATCTTTTTATACTGCCTGTGGCTAATTACTCCAAACCATAACAAACCTACACACTCAGTCATAACCAACTTAAAATGTAATTGTTTGTTTACTTTTTTTGCAAAAATATTTAGAGCACCCCACTTCAAATCATGCCAGTGAAGAAAATCACTGGTTCCTACACATACTGAAAGATGCAGGTCAACTGCTTAGGCTATTGGAAGGTAATAGTGAAGCCATATTAAAGTAACAGCTTAGATCACGTCAGCTGTACAATCCACAAATTGCTTTTTACATAGGACAAATTATGCCAACTTGTTAGCCAGAAGTAATCTTGGTTTCCTCCAGAAAGCATGCATAAAATCGAAATAAAGAATGAGTCCCACAACATTTAAAACCAAAAAACCAAACTCTTACTTTAAACATTGATAAGACATGCTAAGGAGGAAAAATAATTCCAGGGACTGGTCTGACAAACACCATAAAGCATCATAGCCAAATGTGCTTGAACAACAGGCTCTGCTCAGAATATTAATTTGCTTTCTAACTGTTAATTGCAAAGCTAACATTTACACAACGTAGTCCGATAAGGAAAATCTCCCATCTCATTTAACAAGCAGTTCTGCAAGGAGTCAGTGGAAAGCAAGCAGAAGAATACGTAATTAGGTTCCATACTTGAAGTATTTGGTCTCCAGCAAGAAGTCTTCCATCTCTGGCAATGATCCCATCTCGATAAACCTCCTGAATGACAATGTTGATCAGAGGCGTTTCATTACCACCCACTATGCTAATTCCTAATTCGATGTAAGGATTGGACCGATGAATTTCAATAGTAGTGATCTCTCCTTCAGGCAAGGTAGGCGGCTGTTGATTTACTGCCAATTATTTTTTAAAAAGAAAGATGATTAATATCCTTTACACCTCATTCACTTTCAACAACAAAAAAAATAATCACCAAAGGACAATGCAGACAGGTCACACAACAACAGTTTAACAAACAACTAAACAAGTGCAACCAGCTTGGTTTCACTACTTGTTGGATCACCTAGCTCATTAGAAACAGCTCTCTAACAACTTAGTAGCATCTGTGGTTCTTGAAATGGGGTTATTTGTATTGGAAAAGGATACTCTGAACTCTGTGGATCTTGTCCTTTATAATAAATTTCATACACTTAATTTCCAATTTTATCACTTGTGTATTCACGTTTGATGATGATAACAACCCTTTGTTTTGAGGCTTGCCCACAGTGCATGACTTGGTCATGCCACTTTGTCAGCTGCACTAAGAGCTGCTATTTGAGTTACTGGGTCAAGAGAAGGAGCCCATTTCTGAAGCAAACACGGAGACAAATAAAGACGAAAAAGGAGGATGCTAAAGGATTGCAAATACACAGGAGAAGGAAGAGGACAGAACCACCTTCCTCTGTGGTAAGGCTCAGCACTTCCTCTCTAAAATCCCAGATGCTAGAGATGTTACTGCTCATTCGATGCAGATGGATGCAGAAGCTACTCAGCTGTCTTCTTGCTCGAGCAGGACAGCACTCCGCGTGGGGGAGGGCTGCTGATCCGGGCAGTGGGGAGGGGGAAGAGGGGAAGAGAAATCTCATCTTAGAAAATAACTTTTGCAATTTTACAGAAAATATGCTCCTTCTGACTCACTGCGAGGCCAGCACTGCTAGTAGACTAAAATGAGCTACTGCACCATGGCATGCTACATGATGATACAGCACCATGATAGCTAGCACACACTCTGAGATGCTTCTTTCCTTCCTAACTGACTTTATTCCAGTTATATACTTGCGTATAACCAAACCCCACTAATATTTCTCCAAGAATCACAAGAGAAAAGAACAGAAAATGAAGACGTGCATTCACGGTTGGCAAGCGACAAGCTCTGACACCACAAATGTTTCCACATCTGACAAAAGAGACTTGAGAAGATAAGTGCTGACATACTGTCTGCTACTGTGTTCTCCTCAAAAGGCGGATTGTCGATGCCGGGCTCGTCCATCCACGCGGGAAGGGCAGGCGAGGTGAAGCTCTGCTCGGCTGGTACTATTCCCTGATCAGTGTCCGGAGATAAACTGCTGGGCTGCTCCGTCCCACCGGGACCACTGTCGCCCTCCACTTCTGCTTGCAGTTTGCTCGTTTTCTGTCTCTCCAGAGCAACCCTTCGATGAGAAGCCCCAGGACACCTGTGAAGACAACATTTATACCATGCTTCAAGCCTGCAGCAGTGTTTGTAGCACAAAATAATCAAGTACTCCATCAACTGAAATCAGCCTTCTTCAAAGCCACAGCTTTAAACTAGTAATAGAAATATTAAACACATTGGATTTTAAGGGCAAACTGTTTTAGTGGACAGAACCCCAAAACCATACTGTCCTCTTTCCAAAATTTCTACTACGTACTTTTCTGGCCATGAACTGCATGTGTAATAACACTTCTTGAATGTGAACTTATTCTGTTATGTACATTCCAGTTTCTGGAATATAACCTTGCTGAAAAGATTAAATAAGACTGGCATAAAGCTCCACAGAAGAGAAGCCCTATTCAGAGACACATCTAGAGACGTACTGAAGCAACCTCTGTACACCTCAGTAAGCCCAGAGAGAAGGCAGCACATTCTCCTGGGATCATTTGGGTGAAGAAAGAGAGAGATTAATTTTTAACCTATATTGTAATCTAAGTGTTAAAATATTGGAAAAAAATATGCTTGTCTAAAAGTTTGTATGAAAAGTTTAGCAAAAGTAACAGCTCTGCTCATCATCTCTTAAATCAGTAAATGGTATTTCATCCTCCTCATCTCTCCCCTTTTTTCTTCCCAACTTCACACAGGAGATGCAATTTTTTGTACGTAACGTACCTCATGTAACAACGCCTCATCAGCATTCTGGGCTTTTCACTGTAAGCTCAGTTTTGTGAGTTCCTTTTATTCTTAATGCAATGATTTCCTTTTTGCTTATGTTTAAAATCTTACAATAGTTTATTGTAAAAAAGGGCTGCAATGTTGCACATTCGTGGAAAGCCTTTATTTATCAAATGGTCTTACATTTCTGTATAGATAATTGGATGTGGACATCAATCTTACATCTGCCTGCGTGACAGTTTTGCCAGCGTCTGATATTTCACTTCTTACAGTATTTGATGTCCTTCTTCAAGTTCTTGCTGCTAACCACCTAAAGATGCTCGTACTGTAGCAGTGTCAGAAAAAAAGGAGCTGTGTTCTTGAAAGGACTCCTTGTTTGGGAACTTGACAGATAGTTATAATAAAAGAAAAAACGTTTTCTTTTTGAAATGGGAGAAGAAATGTGTTAACAGAGCAAAAGCCAGCAAAAGTCTAACAATGTCCTGACTTGTTAAACCAGATTGTTTTGAGAATCACAATTCTTTTCTGACATTCTGTGAAGAGAATTTGATAATTACATGTTTACACTGTTTTGGCATGAGAGATCTGAAGAAACATTAACAAAGTTATTCAGCTCTAAAGAATGTTGATAAAAAGACCTGTACAGTTTTGTGACCCCCAGCAGTGTTATACACACATAAAGTGATATATCTCTCTATATATATCATGACATATACATTTAGAAGAGCAGCATAAGGTAACCCAAATGTGCTATGAAATACATATAAATACATAAATTAGAGACAGTTCATGTTATTAAATGACACATTTAAGAAATAATTTCTTGGGGCTTTCCCCAAGGTGACTGCTGGTCACCTTGTTCTTCAAGGTTAAGAAAGCACAAACACAAAATATGAAAATTATTTGAAAGGTTCTGCTTTGTGAAAAAGTAAAATTATTGGCATAGTGGGACTGATCACCTAAGAAATTTGGCTGGTCTTAATTTATTCTGGTGGCAGAGACCCATAGTTACAAGTCAAACTCAG